CCCCCCCCCCAGGCCCCAAAAAAACAGCAACCATGCAATTGACATGATAAAACCAATATAGTATGCAGTACTATCAAGCTATCATTCACGTTCATCGACCGTGGATGTCAAAGCACCATGTTCAACCACCGCAGGGTAAAAACTCCATACACGCTCGACGAACGTGTATCAATGCCGGGATGGCCATTGCGAATCTCCTCAAGGTTTACGAGAAACAATACACATTCCGAAGAATGGGCATTCAGGCAGTTTCGATAACTTGTTCTGCGGCCTTAATGCTTATATTCGCATCTGTCACCAGGACTATCAGCAGTCAAAATCGAGTCCAGGAAGAGAAAGAAAATGAGGAAGATCACGAAGACTATAATACCATTCTCAGCGTGTGCTTCCGGGCGTTGGAGGAATTCAGCTTATCGTGGGAAAGTGCAAAGCGAGCTCAAACATTTCTGACTAATTTGCAACGTCTATGGGAAGCGAGAGCTAATGCCTATAATTCGTCGAAACGTGTTATAGCGCAGTCACGAAGCAGGCCCCAATCGCAAGCACCAGGGCCAAAGCGGTCTCGCATGTCTGCTAACATGTTGCATCCTTGAAAAAGAATCCCCAATGAGCAATGGACGAGGAATGAGTCTGAAACAATAGGAACATACAGCCATGTCTCTTGTATTTCCAGTTCTCCCTTGACCAGTTAAAAGGTGCGTTATAATGGATCCTGATAATTGAGACACTTTCCTGTATATCCCTATAGTACTAAAGTAACATATTGTGACCTTTCACTGGGTTTGAGCTTTGGATCTACCTAATTCGAACTGGCGAGGTCCATCTCCAGCATCCTAATTACTGCTTCTGTAACCTCCAAGGTATTTGCTGTACCCTGGACGTCCTTTGTCTTTATCCCACCAGCACATACACATTCTACAGCTTCCATTAAAGACTGGCTCGCCTTGGCTTCACCCAGCCACGCCAGCATTTCGGCAGCACACCAAAATGTTCCAACTGGATTCGCCACACCACGACCTGCAATATCTGGGGCGCTGCCGTGTATAGGCTCAAACATACTCGGAAAGCGTCTCGTCGGATTCAGATTACTCGAAGGCGCGACTCCAATGCTACCTGCGAGAGCGGCCGCCAAATCAGAAAGAATATCGCCATGCAAATTCGTGGCCACGATGGTATCTAGACTTGGCGGGTTTAGCACCATTCGAACTGTCATTGCGTCAACCAGCATTTTGTCTGTTTTGACCTCGGGGTACTGGGGAGCCAGCTCGTTGAAGACATTGTCCCATAATACCATCCCGTAACGCTGTGCGTTGCTCTTGGTGACCATAGTCAAGTGCTTTCGCGGGCGTGATGCAGCTGTTTCAAAGGCGAAACGCATTGTGCGCTCAATACCTCGTCTGGTAAACACCGCAATGTCGTTGGCGATGGCGTACTCTGTCTTTTCGTGCGTTATGCCCCCCTGGCCGGCATACTCGCCTTCACTATTCTCACGGATCATAACCCAATCGAGGTCTTCGGTGTTGCAATTCTTCAGAGGTGATGAAAGACCGGGAAGGACACGAATCGGGCGAACATTAACGTATTGCCCTAGCTAGACAGGAAATTTTAGCGTTTATTTCTTCTTTTTTTTTTTCCCTTCTTCTTCTTCTGGTTGGATTTTTGGATAGGCAAGGTCTGGGATTACCATCTTACGAATGGGCAGGATGAGACCCCATAAGGAGATGTGGTCAGCAACATCTAGAATTAGAAAAGATGTTTCTTAGCATGATTGCCACGTTAAGAAGTCCCCTCTTCAACATTCTAAGAATCGTACCTGGAGAACCGACAGCACCAAAGAAGATGGCATCGTGATTTTTCAACGACTCCAGACCGCCAGCAGGTATGTATTCTCCCGTTTTTTGATACCTTTCGGAGCTCCAATCATAATTGTGAAAATCTAGAGTAAAAGTGCCCAGGAGCTGTTCAAGTCTCTTTAGCACTCGAATTGCTTGCTCGGTCACTTCCACTCCGATACCGTCACCTGGTATAGAGGCGATGCGGTAGGTCTTCCTCACGGAGTTCATTCTGCTCGCAGTTGGTGGTGTAGCAACAATAGGGACTTCGAGTGTAAAGGTATAAAGAGATATATAACCATTGCCCGTCAGCCATGCCTCTCTTTTGGCCTTACCCTAGGTAGGATGGGCTTTACAGCACTGGAAATGTGATCCGATTTGGACAGGATAGAAGGCACATCCATGTGATTCGAATCTAGCAAGATAGCCATTGACATAAGGTTCTGCTCTGAAACATGGATATTCCGTATATGTCTCTCTCATGCCTGGTTACTAACGTATTACTTGCAGTCTCTACAGCCACCTTCTCTGGATATAAGCAGTTTGAGTAAAGATATTCGCTCTACCTGTTATATATGCAAATATAATTCAACCAAACAAACATTGGGAGCCCTCGGTTACATAAGATAGTTTACCATCAAAGCGATGAAATATTCATCAAGCATTGTGTTACGGAATTCAAATCCCGCGGACATTCTGTACTCGGGAGATAATTCCAGTCAAAGGCTGGTTTAGGGTTTGGGGCTTACGAGCCCTAGCATTGTATTCCAAAGACTGAACAACTAAGCCTCAGTTAGGATTAGAGCTTCTATCCAACTCACAACCGTTACTTGCCGATAGTCACAGCAGACTAGTTAGCACGCGCCCAAGGCAACCTTTGCTCGGCTGTGCATGTCATAGCAGGGGCCCTCATTCAGCCTCAGTCCCTAACCTACTTAGATTTTTATTCGACGCTATATGCACATACTAGTATATAGAATGCGTGATTAAAGATCGCAGGGATGGACAAGGCGCATGGGCATCGAGAAAATCCAGATTTCAACCTCATACATGCCTTGAGGCAACATGAAGATATAAAACACTAGAGGACCCCGCATGTTAATCAACAAATTTAGTCAAAAATTCATCCTATATTCATTCATATACTCAAATCAACCAATCTCTCTACTCCAAATCTGTTTCCAACCAAAGAAAACGAAACCGAGATGCCAGCCCTAATCTCCTCCTCCGTCACCCTCAAACCCAAGCTCTCAACCCTGACCTTTGTCACATCCAACGCCGACAAAATCCGCGAAGTCACTGCAATCTGCAAGGAATACGGAATTCGCGTTGAGCCAATCCAGTCGATCGATTTACCGGAATTGCAGGGTTCGATTGAAGAAGTGGCGCGGGAGAAATGCCGGCAGGCTGCTTTAGCGGTATGTTCTTCTTCTTATCTAACAATGATATAAGAAAACCAGGACCAGAATGTGCTGACCATGAATGATTAGGTCAATGGCCCGGTACTAATCGAAGACAGTGCCCTAATATTCCATGCTTTAAATGGACTGCCGGGACCTTATATGTGCGTAACCCTAACTCACACTCCCTTCTTCCACTCTTACCTAGTAACTAAATACTAACCTTGCAAAAAATAAGAAAAATGGTTCTACCAGTCCCTCGGCCTCGACGGCCTGAATCGTCTCTTGGCCGGTCACGTCGACAAATCTGCCGCGGCAGTGTGCACATTCGCATTCTCATGGGGCCAATTTCAAGACCAATACCCATACTCAAATGATCAGAGCGCAAGTGCACCCAAAGCAGAACCACCAGAGGTATTCCTATTTCAGGGCCGGAATGAAGGCAGAATAGTTCCTGAGAGGGGAGAATATGGATTCGGTGAGTTCTAAGTTTGCATACAAACGATGTCTCTTAGGACAATCGCTAAGCTTTTCATGTAGCATTCGATCCTATATTCGAGTATGAAGGAAAGACATACTCAGAATTACGGCCTGAAAGCAAGGTATGCCCCCTCCTTCTCCTGTCATTTAAAATCTAGGAGAGGATTAACGTACTGATTCTCGATAGAATCGCACTTCTGACCGGTTCAAAGGGTTGATCAAATTCTTGGATTGGTTGGCTAATTAGGTAGCAGCACTAGATATTTGAGGTTGCTAGTAATGCTTAGTTATTTACATAGTTAAGAGAGCGCATGAAGACAATTAATTGACCTCACAGCCTACATCAGAGGAAAAATAGCGTTAAAGGCGAAAAAAAAAAAAATCTGGCATTTAATTCATAATGTCCATGCAATCACGTCTGACCATAGGGCATTTTCGAAGCGAAAAAGAAAAAGGCAAGAAAAGCAAATAGGGATGAGAGCCAGAAATCGACCTCACCCAGCCAAGGAAGGGGGGGGGGGGAAAGATAATATGTAAGAAAAAACATCAAGGAAAAACACACGCGAAACAACATCATTTTTAAACGAATGGACCGTCAACAACTGAGTTCATCATAAATCCTTCCATGCCTCCCACCATACGATCCAGCGCCGGTTGGAGTCAAGGCCGTAATGCGAAAGAAACGAAAGCTTATTTTTGCGTACATGGATGGCCGCTTTTCTGATGTAGAAAAAATTGAAAGATCAGGGGGAAAGGATTTTTTATACAATAAGTCTATATCGATCCAAAAGAGATAGAAGGAGATAGGAAGCGGTTGAGGTTTTCTCACTCAGGCTATTCAGCGCTAGATGAATCGCATATGTTATTAGAAAAAAGCGAACATTTTCGATTTTTCAATCGTGAGAACTTACGCGTCCACGACGTCCAGCCGCGCCCTGGTTAGGAATAGCCTGCGCCTGAGGGTAGTATTGAGGTGAATATTGATACATTTGAGCTGAATTCAACACTGGGCTGAATTGAGGCGGTGCGAATGCCGGTTGGCCAATAATTGCATTTGGATTCACCTGCGACGGTCCACCCGGAAGGCCTCTCATGCTGTCCATGCCCCCAGCATAGCCCTGGTAAACGTTTCCGCCTATGCCACCTGGGTAAACCCCACTTTGGGGCACTCCACGCGATTGTAGATACGCTTGGTATTGCAACTGCTGCTGTGGCAGGGATAGCCCATTGTCCTGGCCAAAAGCTGGTCCGTTCATGCCATTGAGACCACTGGCAGAAAAGTCATAGGTAGGCTCGCCTGGGCGTCCATTATCGACATTCGGGGAATTTGAGTACTGAGTACCGAACTGCCTGTCCGTCTGGTTCGGATAATTGGAGCTGGCTTGACGTGATGATGTTGGACGGTGCTGTTTGTCGCCATTTACTCCATGGCCACCAGCACTTGCATCCCTCCCATGATGGTCACGAGAGCTTGCTCGAGAAGACAATCCAACTTCATCCATAAGTCGCTTGTAGCCTTGGCTTGGACTTGCTTTCAGCTTGGTGAGAACCTTTGATATATTTTTGACAACCTCCGCGCGCATTGACTCATCGAAGAAAGGCGTGGTAAGAACTTTGAAAATTAACGTAGCTCCCGAGCTAGGGTCGCTGAGAATTCTTTCCAACGACTCATCGTTAGGGCTGAAGAAGAGTGCCTTCAGTACGATCTCTCGTGCTTCGGGCTCATTTCGTTGGTTGATGACTTTCAAAACAGTCAAATATGCAACCTTATGTGTGCATAGATGGACTAAGTGCGGAACAAGTCGAGGAGCGAGAACAGTCCTGCGATGTGGGAAGGTACAAGTATCGAGGAACCAAGTCAGCAGCAAAGCGCCATTGGCATTCGTAGCAAGCTGAACACTGTGTAGTGCAATTGCAGCAGCTAGCATCCGCTGTTGGTCCTTCGTGGCATGATGGCTTTCTAAGCAAGCGCGCATAGCACGAGCGCCAAAACGTCCTTGAGAAATTTCCCACATCCTGCTAAGCATGCTCTCAAAAATAAAGTCATTGTATGGACTGCCAAATCGCAAACAGCACTGTAGAACGTAGTTGCCGTACTGGTCGAGAAATAGCGGTACTGTGTAAGGGCGTAAACTGTCTACAATAATTTGCATTTGATTAGGCGATTTTGCGACATCGATGATTTTCTGGGCTGCCCATGTGCCGTTCTTGTGGACGCCGATTTCAGCCATATGGGGGGATATTTGCACCAGCATCTGTTCCTTTGTCTGCTCCGAACAGAATTCGAAAAGCTTCTGGACGACTGTGTTCCCAAGGTAGTCCGACGAGAGCTCTGCAATTTCCGGCAGCATTCCGTTTGCTGTCTCCTCAATTTCTTGCACAGAGCAGAGACCATTGTCAATTCGCTTTCGAATGTCACGAAGTTTCGGTGCGTCATGCATTCTAGCAGCACTTGGCTCAGGCACAGCGGAGATCTCGTCTTCAAATGACTGGAACGATATTGCCCTTTGCACGCTAGCGCTAATAGCATGTACATCATCATCGGATGCTCCAAATTGCCTTACGATTTCGCCCATTTCGAGGCGCAGCTCTGACAACGGCGGAACCTGCGGAGTGACGGTTCCGGCTCGATCGAGCTTCGATGTATCCATAGCTCCATGCTCTCCCAAAGCAGAATTGGGGTCAGGAGTTGGCGAAAGATGTGTGCCATTTGCTCCAGGTGTGCCAGATGCAGAGGTACCAGGAACTTTGGCGTACCCAATTCTCACAGGCCCTGCACCGGGAAATATCTCTTTGCCATTTAGTAAGTTCTTTGCTTGAACGGCACTCTCCAGACGCTCGAAATTGACAAATCCACAATTTTTGTGTGTGAGGACACGAGTCGACTCGATTTTGCCATACATGCTGAAAATAGCATCCAACGAAGTGACCGTTGTAGAAACTGGAATACTTCCAATCCACAAAGCTCTGGTAGGGCCTTCAATGCTGCCCTCCTCCGCGACCTCGGCCGGAGGACGGACGCCCGAAGTTGCACCGCCAGATCCTCCAAGGTGCATCAATTGAACTGCTTCTGAAAGTTCATCGTACTCGCTGCCTTCTGCAATGCCAAGGTCTGCAGCGCTGATGCTATTATCCAATCGAGACGGTGTTGCAAGATAGTTTCGAATCGAAGATCGTTGTGGTGGTGTATCAAGGATACCAGCGGTGCGAGCGCGCGGACGGCTTGCCGAGGCGTGGTTGGCGAATGCCTGAACCGCGAGGTTGTGTTGATGGATCTGGGCTTGAGTGGCGGCGAGTTGAGCAGCAGTAGCGGCAGCGGATGGTGTCAATGTTCCTGATGGAACTTGTGGGTAGGAACTGCCGTACTCTTCGTCATCTTCAGCATATTTCTCCTTGGCGTTGACCGAGTACGACCGGAATCTATTGTTGCTTTTTATCATCGCGAGTTCGGCAAGCAGTGGGGGCAAAGAAGATTGCTGCTGCTGCTGTTGCTGAAGTAATGCTTCAACAGAAGAATGTGTAAGCGAGGTATGTTGTGGAGTCTCGGCCAATCCCAAGTAGTCAAGAGTCTTCACGTCGCTATCGGCAAACCCATTGCCTGAGAAGGATGATTGAGTTGGGGATGTCCGTCCTTCGGAAGATCTAATGCTGGTCAAGGTTGTCGCACGATCGCGTCCTGAAGCCCAACTCGTTGAGAAAACAGACGGGCCAAACGGATTAGATGGCCCCAAGAAGCTGTTTGTGCGCTGAGGCATCGAACCTGCGCGCAAGCGAGATAATGTGCTGCCTCCAGCACCAGTTGTAGCGGTCCTGCTGCTTGTATCAATACCAGACAAACCCGGTGGACGAAAGGGGCTGGTAGATGGCGTAGGCCTAGAACTTTGAGACAGGAATGATGGTGGCTGGGATGTTGCGGAATTCAGGGTACCGACAGCTGGGAATCGCGACGGCACAGTGCCGGCTCTCGTGCGGCGGGCTGGGCTGCTCAGTGTGGGCTCCGACGGTATCAAATCCGGGAAGCCATCCTGACTTGGAGATTCGGGAATATTCTCGCGAAGAGGGGTTGAGTGGCCACTTGTCGGCGGACCCCAAATGCTTGTAGGAAGGCCTTCTTGGGCTTGAATTTCACGGGCACTAATTGATGGGGAACAAATAACGTAAGCAATAATGTTGAAAGCAAACATTCCATGGTAATGATGAGTTCTTACCGTTTCGAATACAGGCGAGCGCCTAGTTCGTGAGAGGGGGATCCAGCCCCTAGGCGTGTACTACCTAACGATCCCGGAGCATTTCCCAGTCCATTGGTAGTACCGAACGGAGATTTGCCTAGACTCGCAGCCAGTTCATTCGGCGAGTTGCTACCCGTCGATGTTCCTGACATTGACTGAGAAACCGGGATGTAGTTGAGATTGAGATGGCCGTCTGGCCGCGAAATAGGCACCATTACAAATTATAGGTGTTCCGACAAACTTGACCGGAAGGAATATAGATGGAAATTGGAAAATATGGCGTTATTGTTCGCCGAGACGAGTAACTTGAAATCAGACTGGCGTGTTCAGTTCCGGAAGGAGTTGTCAGGGTGACTTGCTCGGTAAAGACGGAGGTCGCTATAAAATCCCCATAAGATTGTGCGACTGCGTTGAAGTCCGGTACAAAAAATGTGCCCGTCCACTGTCACACAGCACAGAATCTCGTCACAACAGATCCAGAACTCAAGGGATGGTCCCAAGATTGTGATTCAAATAAAGACCGAATCGGATCACTCTATATGTTCAGCCGACCACGCAAAGGCGGACCGATCCCCGGCACCAAGAAACCAAGAACTTGCACAATCTTTTTGTAACGTTGCCAAAATTATCCAGGTCGACGATCAACCCAGACACGCACTGGTATGAGATTCGCACAAAGTCAAGAATCAGATTCTGAGCGGTCACGGGACTCGATGGATGACGGCGAGTGACGGGTCATGCGAAACTTTTAAAGTGAGACAATGCGCGGGACCAGGAATTCCAGACTAAACTAGTTAATGGAATTAAAGATATTATGCCGGTATCTCTGGCCAAAGGCGATGAGGAAGCTGTCGTCGAGACACAAAGCGTGTTGTTTAGACAGGGTGGCAGGACGTCGACAGCTCGAAACGAGACAGGCAGAGGTCCGGCCGGGCGGAAAGCACGGAGGGGGGTGTGAATAAAGGTCAATGGATGAAGGAAATGGCGGTATTAATAACTAGGACTATTATTATCAAAACCTCAGAGAGGACCCAAGAAGGGAAGAGAACAGCGAGGGCGAGGATAACGAAGGATGAGGGTTGTAGTTAACAATCCTCTGGATGTCGTCGCCAGGAGAAGTGTCAAGGGAGCCCGGCCGGACGCTAGCTATAATTAACCCGTTAGTTACCGTACTGAGTATTACATTTACCACTGCTGTATATTAACTAACTAACTACCAATCCATGTTTGTCCACGCTTCGAACGATCCGTGACAGATCGCTATTTCAAGAGGACAATACAACAATCGAATAGATCGATTGGGTTTCAAAGAACCCCGGCGGGCTGCATCCCACGCAACAGCCAAACGGAGATACTGTGTGCAGCCAGTCATTGTGCTGGGGGCTTGCCTGCCTGCTACTGGACGAAATCCTCCGATTAAGTGCATATGTGTATCTTGCGGTAATGACAATACGCCCTCTCCTACTCCACGTACGTACGTACACGGTGTTCCTAGTTAACTAGAGTGTCTGCAGCAAGTAAGATTGATCATGGTAACTAAAATAACGCTGGCACGGAGAAGAGTCGACAGCCAAATCCGGATTGTGGCAGATGCTTGATGCATGGGGGAATATTCGATTCAGGGCTGGATAGACCGGCGCATCAGAGAGAGCCGTGTTTCATGGGAATGTCGATCGTCCTTGACGAGACGAGGACAGTCGAAACCTGTGGAAGACGTGCTTGACTCCAACCATGAAGCATTCATTGCTCTTTTGCTGGTTAAAAGCAGCCGTGGATTCAGCAAGGGGCCAGTACCAACACCACCGCCCACCTACGAGGCCAGGCCAGTTCCAAGTCTGTGCACAAGACCTTGCAAGAATGTATTTATACAGTGATACACAGCTAGACTTCCAATGTGGTGAAGAAAAGAGTAAAGAACACATCGTTAAATAACAAAACCCGAAAATGAAGACGCCGACGCTAAGCCAGAGGGAGAAAAAGCCCCACATACTTTCTGTTCTGTTTTGCAGCTGTCAGCAACAGCCGCCTTTCCTAGTTGGGCGCTAGCGTTTAGTACGGGCGCAGTATTACATTACATTTCCCGTCACTTCTGAGAAGAAAGACTGCATGAGCTGTTTCGGTCTTGTACATAACAGCCAACCGACTCTCTGCACAGACAGCAGCTGAGACAGGCCATATCGGCTTGTACAGGCATGGAGCATACAGTATAATCTGAATTGTCCTGATGCTGCATCACGTGATGATAGCCGGGACACGAGATCACGTGCCATTCTCCGCCAAGACCTCGACGCCTGACGCGGAGTGCAAGAGGCGACAGGCTTACATTTCCGACAATTACAAAGACTGTCTTTCTTCTTTTCTTTTCCCCTTCGTTCTTTCTTTCTCAACTTCTTCCGTTTGAGTAGGGCATATTACAAAGATTCGCGCCCCTGCGCAATCTTTCATCAACCATGGCGACTGCGGACGAGGCTTCCTCTTTCGCCGGGGCCGACACCTCGGAAGATGAGGCCGTTATTGAGTCTTTGGTTGCCGGTCGGCAAAAAAGAAGCACAGCCGGGCGAAACATGTCGTCGCTGCTGGACGCCGCTGCGGATGATGACCTCACTCTGCTGTTTGCCGAAGACGAAAATGACGACGAATTTGACGAGGACGAAGGAGCCGATGGTGATGTCGACGACATGCGCCTGGACTCGTCATCTGAAGACGAAGATGATCAAGGGCCCAATGCGGCCGATGACGATTTGGAAGGCGAAAGAGAGCTGGAGAAACAAGCCAGAGCGGACCGGAAAAAGCGCAAAGCTCAGGAGTCACTGCGGCTTACAGCTCTGCGGAAAAAAGTCAAGATCGACTCTCCTATGGTGGCGACGACTACGACTACGACGGAAACCACACCGCGCCCGAAGAAAAAGTCTGATCGAGTGTCATGGCTACCAACGCCCGAAGAGGGACCAGTTCGGTCGTCTTCGCGTCGCCAAACCATGCAGAACAAGGAGCTCACGCACGCCAGGCTGAAGGACAGCGAGCAAAGGCGGATCAAGCTTATTGCAACCATGGAGCAGGCAGCCAAAAGGAAGCAAAGAATGAAACCTAAAGTGATGACTCAGGAAGAACGGCTGGCGGAAGCAGCGAAGATCGAGCGATTAAATAGTAAAAGTCTGAACCGATGGGAGGAAATGGAGAAACGAAAGGCCGAGGAGCGCAAGGCTAAGCTTGAGGCGTTGCAGAATCGCCGGCTTGAGGGGCCTGTTATGTCTTGGTGGAGTGGGATTGCGAAGTGGGTTAATGGGAAGTTGGTGCGCGTGGGCAATGTCGAGGTCAAGCCAAAGATCGAAAAGGAGGAAGCAGAACGTAAGAAGAAAACGGCGGCGAAAGATTCGGCCGCTCAAGAAACACCAAAAATAATAGAGACCAAGGCCGCCGAGGTTCCTGCTATGACAAGCAATGATGCTTCTATACCCTCTCCTGGAGTATTACCAGCCCCAGAATCTGCGGTTCCTACGATTGGCAGCGTGGAGAATGTGGCGAGGCAAGATGATACCGTGCCAACCCCAGCGCTAGAAAATGAGAAGGCGACGAGCTCACTGGGATTTCTCGACGGCATTCACGAGTATGCGTCTCTCCCTACAATACCTGCACCCGAGACAGCGGAAGTAGAGGTGAAAGTTCCTACATCAGGGAACTCGAAACCGGAAACAGCAGATGACGCTGGGAAACAGCCGGCTGAGGATGAGGATGGTGGAACCAAGACCACTTCACATGATAAGCTGCCAGTCGACGCGCCCAGTGGAGATGGAAAAACAGAAGATGTTCAGGTTGATGATACTCCAGCAGGAGCACAGCCCGTCGCAAGTACGAAAAGTGTATCGGGAGAGAAACTTCAGTCAGAGTCTAAAGTGGCCGATGGAGAAGCCGGCCAAACGCAGGCATCGCAAGATGTGTCTCCAGAAGCTGTGTCAAACGAAGCTAGTGCGGAGACGAAGCAGGCGGAAACCGAGGCAGCAGTAAGAAAAACTACAGAGAATCCAAGTGGTGCTGACGGCTCGGAAAATATCGAGTCAAAAACAGCTCCTGCTGTACCCGCCACTGAAGAAGAAGAAGAAGAAGAAGAAGCCAAACAAACCGAGACACCCGTGCAAGCTGCTGTCACGGAAACGTCAGAGATGGACATTGACAAGCCTGTGTCGGTTGCTGAGCCGTCAGCAGCAGGTGAAGCCGAAGCGTCGGCGCCAGAAGCAGCAAAACCCGAGAAAATAGAGCAGACAGGGCGAAACCTTCTCGTGCTAGAGAACTTTGACAATTCAACGATGCAAAGTCGCGAATACAGCATCTACTTTAATTCAAAGAAACCGCCACGTCTAACGAGTACGTCTACTCCTTTTTCTCTTGCCAACTGACTGACTGACTGATTGATTACAGAAATATCATCCCACCTCTGCCCCATAACATCGCAGCTATCTCGGTACCGCGATCCCGACACAGGGTTGCCGTATGCGAACATGGTTGGGTATCGCGAAATCCGCAACCTGACAGAGCAAAAATACACGTGGAGCGGGATGCTGGGGTGTTACGTGGGCAATGCAAGTGTGGCGGCAAAGGGGGTGCCCGAGCAATTTCTTACTGGAGTGAAGCCATCGCCTCCCATCTCTGACGACAAGGCCAAGGGAAAGCCGAAGGAGAAGGAGACGGAGAAGGAGACGGGTGAAGGAAGCATGGAGGTGGGCGCGTGAGAGAGAATAATCATTTTATAGAGTGTATAATATGTACTTGTATGGCGTTTGGATAGTTACGAGATACCCACTGATCAATGAATGTTCTTCCTACCCGGTATTGAGGTCTAGTCAGGCTTGATAGAGAACACCTTGGTAGCATATCAACCTTGGAGGCGTGAAAGAACTACCTAGGTACCTATGGCACCTTGTGAGAATCGCCCAGGTAGACAAGGAGCCTTCCAGTATGAAAAACGTGATTGGAGCTTTGCATCACCCTGCCCTTGCCCAGAGGTACATATGATGGATCAATGCGATAACCGATTATTCATGTGATGAAATTCTGTGTCACCCAAAAGGTACTCTCAGCAAAAAGGAAAAAAAAAAAAAAAAAAAAAAAAAAAAAAAGGCTCATTGACAAGACAGATGACACCATCCTCGCACATTGGGATTGACGTCAACCACTCGGGGGGGTTTGCCTCGCTGATGCCTTACGCTGCTGCCTTAGGGCCTCGGGCGTTGATAACTCCTGTGCCTGTGCAGGCATCAAGTGATCTCGTGCAGACCAAGATTTGAGTCCACACTTCACTTGCAGGCGGAAGAATAATGGAGGAAAACAAGAAAAAAAGCTTGAAGAGGGCGTGGTCATGTGGGCGGTGTAACCCTAACCCGGCGCTCTTTTGCCCGAAAGAGAAGACCACGGAGTAGACGAAAAGCGCAGAAGAGAAGAATAATAATAGAAGAACGTCTGCTATTAATACAGCCAGTTACGTGTCCTGCAGTCTAGATCCTGGACGGGATATCCGGATGCGGTAATGATATAATGATGCTGGCAATTATGCCATGTTCTAGACTCCATCAGGTGTTCTCGACCACCTCCCAAGGTGATGGTGATGATGATGGGTGTCTTGTTTATTCTTCTCCTATATATTCCAGCCTGGCCGTCTGTTTGTTTGTTGCTGCTGCTGCTGACTTCTCACCGCTGTCTGTCTGTCTTCTCTTCTTATCTCTGTGTGTCTTCCGCCGAACAACGGAAGCATCACAGCTGCTGTACCTGCATCTCGCAGAATTATTCATGGCCTGTCCTACTCGCGCTGTTTCGTGTCGCACCGGATACTACATCTAATAACGACATCCTCACTCTCTATTCATTCATTTCATTATTAGTCACTTAGTTTATTATCTCCATCCCTTTGATCGGCTTGTGGGTCTGCTTATCTTGCAAGGCCCATTCCCAAGCACGCCAGCCCAAAATGCATCGCCAACAAAAGCCTCACAAAAATAATCCCAATCCCAATCCCAATCCCAATCCTCCTAATACCTCACCGCCATCCTCCTCCAGGCGCCCTCCTTCTCACCGCCACACGACGTCGCCAGGCACGACTTCCCATCCTCCTCATCCTCCGGCGAAAAGGGGGTCTCTTTATCACCGCAAAAGCGCCTCGGCCCACCAGCTTTCTCACCACAATCACAATTACAATTACCACCACAAATCACACCAATCGCTCAGCAGGCTGCTCGGTCCTGGCTCTGGCCCTGCCAGCTTACCCCTCGACAAGGCGGACGACGAAATGGCGGCGAGTTTCTTGCAGTATTGGTACGTGCTTCTTATCTATCTCTACGTATGACATGCATGCCTCATTTTGCTCGCTCGTCTCACATTCCACAACCTTCATGCCGTGATATTTTCATATTTAGATATCCCTGGCTGACTGACGTCGTATCATAGCGCCATGTGCGAAAAGCAGATAACCGTGCCCAGCAACTCGGTTCTGTATTGCAGTGAGAGGTATGTCTGACTCATCTTGATCTATAGCTATCTATCTACATACTGACCTTTCTTTCTTCAGCTGCCGCCGAAAGGACTCCTGCAAGCCTCTCTCCGCGTCTTCATACACATACACCATGGCCGCCGCCTCTCCCTCTGCCTCTTACTCCTACTCTCCCTCTCACATCGACCAACCTCCATCCCCAGCCATGTCCTCCGGCTCTTTGACCAGGATACCTCCCGACCTGCACTTCTTCAAGTCGGATATTGACCCCACCGAATGGAAGCCCGTGATACACGGCTGCGACTACGGACACGGGCACGCTCGCAACAGCTCCTCCTCCTCAACCTCTCTCGCAGCGTCCCCCTCGTCGTCCAGCGATGCATGGACCTACCTCTCCCAATTCCATTCATCCGCCTCGTCGTCGCTCCCGCCTCTGATGATCCGTCGTCCAACCCAGCCTCGCAGCAACAACTACCGCACCAGCAGCAGTAGCACCAGTCTGTCGGCCATGATGAGCATCAACGACGACAACAACAACAACAACACCATCGCCAGCGCCAGCGCCAGCACCATCGGCGGCCTGCCCTCCCTCGTCAACACGCCAGCCACGTCGACCTCCGCTTCGTCCGTGACGAGCAGCAGCAGCAGTCCTCCGACTTACTCCTTTTCCTCGGACTACATCGGTGCGTACGTGTATGACACGGCTACTGCAACTCGCCCCTTGCCACCGCGCCACAACCCGTCGTTCTCGGCTGCACCCAAGGGCGTGGAATTGGTTGTGCCGCATATCATTGCGCCAGGTAGCGGTAAGGTGGCTTCCGCTGCCGTCGCCGGTGCGGCTGCGGATCGTGTCGATGTTGATGTCGTCGATGATGATGATGATGATGTTGACGTTGTGGCTGCCCATGATGGTGGGATTTGGTTGGGAGCTTAACAACTAGCATAGCATATCATATCATGCATTTGATGGGTAGTACTCGGAAAAAAGTACCACAATATCTGTCTTGTTTTCTTTATCTTGTGGCAATGTGTTGATAATCTACTTTTCCTTTTTTTTTTATTATTTTCTTTTCCACTATTAGTATCATTACGACGAATTTTTCAGCACAGCAATCAAACAAATATGTATTCGTCCCCTTTTTATTTTTATTCCCATTAAGGCTGTGACTAGCTACCCGCCGGAGTATCAATCAATCAATCAATGAAAAGCACTATTCAAAGCTTCATAATTACGGAGTGCAGCGACCCGTGAATCTCGGATACAAGCAGCACTCGCGGACCGTGTAGCGACCGCAAATCCAGGCTAGGAAACGCTCAAGACCCAATCCGTAGCCTCCGTGGGGAGATGTTCCGTATCTGCAGAGTAACGGCTCGTTAGTACTATTTACCCTCTCAGCTTCAAGGAAAGGGAAAAAAAAAAAAAACGTACTTTCGCTGGTCGGTGTACCAGTAATACGGCGATGGATCCATCTCCTCTCGCTTATAAGCCGCAATCAACTCATCCCAGTCATCGATACGGCAGCTTCCTCCCACGATTTCACCTACGCCAGGCATCAGCACGTCGACGCTCTCTGTGACACGCGGATCCTGCGGGTCTTTCTTCATGTAGAATGCCTTGATCTCAGCCGGGAAATGCGTCAGGAAAATAGGCTGGTTGATGATATCAGTCATCTTGCGTTCGGCCGCTTCGGCAATGTCGTCGCCGAATTGATGCGGCTGGCCTTCCTCGTTGGGGATGTCGTGTTCTTTCAACCAATCAATCGCATCCGAGTATCGCATCCGCTTAAATGGACGTTGCGGTACTTTGAAATCGGGGTTGAGTTCTTTAACGTATTGGGCAATCTGCTCGTCCTCAAGCAGATACCCGATTACGCGGGAAATCACTTCCTCAAGATGCTCAAGGAGATCATCAAAAGTGATAAAGTCCAACTCTGCCTCAATATGTGTGTACTCCGACAAGTGGCGCCGTGTAAGCGACTTCTCCGCACGGAACGACGGGCAAATACAGAATACATCTCCGAGAGACGCCAAGCAGGTCTCGAGATACAACTGCGATGACTGCGTCAAATACGCCGCTTCGCCGTAGTAGTCAAATGAGAACAGTGTGCTGCCACCCTCGACCTGTGTCTGCACCATCGAAGGCGGCGTCACTTCCAACATCTTGGTCTCCTCGAATGTCCGTCTAAACGCCCTCAAAGTCGCTGCTCGCACTTTCATTACGGCAGAGGATGTCTCACCACGGAGAACCAGATGTCGGTTGTTGTACAGTGTCTGAGGATCAGAGTCCGCTGAAACGCGGTTGGTTATGGCCTCCTTGTCACCGGCAGCCCTGCCAATGACCGTGAAAAAGTCTGCGTGCAGCTCTCGGTTGTTGGGCGCATGTTGCTTGGGAGGCACTGCGCGCATCTCACCGTGGATTGCAATGGACGTCTCCAGAGTCAAGGTCATCGCATCGTAGGTCTTGACTAAATCGCCCATCAGGATACACTGAAGGAATCCGTATCCATCAGAAAGTGTGATGAAAATGACGTCCTTCTGTGACCGCAGGCGATGTACACGACCGAGGACACGGACACGAGTGCCAGGCTCGTCGGACTCTGGTGCACGCAGCTTGATGATCGCTGGGTCCGTAACATCTAGCCGAATGCGCACTGGTTTTGGAAGAGAAGGGTTCTCGGTGATGACAACCTTCTTGGCCTCCTCAAGCACAGCCTGACGCTTCTCAGCCTCTGCCTTTTCGCGAATTGCAAGTTCTTGGGCCTTGGCAGCCTTCTTCTGGGCCCCCTCATACTGTTTCGTCATCTTCTTCATGGCCGACGCGGAGGGGGGTTTCCACTCAAGACGGGCGGCTTCATTGCCCTCTTCAACAGCGCCTGTAAGCGACTTGCGAACTAAGTACTTGATTCCTTCGGTGGAGGGGGCATGCTGCAGCATAGCGTGGAGTAGGGTCTTGTAGGGAGCAGCCTCGGTGCCGCTGGCCGACGAGTCGTCCTTTCCGACATCTTCGTCGATGTAGATTTTCTGCTCAGTGACCGCCATGTTGACCATTCAAGTTCAATCTTTTCCTATATATTCTTCAGAGAAACAAGAAGCAGGTCAGCCAAGGGAGCGCGCGTCCCGTCAAGCTATTTAACTTAGTCGAATGCGGGTATGACTCAGAGATTTAAAAAACCGACCAATGCAGTGTAAACTTAGGCACGTTTCTCTAGAACAAGGCCTGCTTCAGACTTTGGATTAGGGCGGAGTCCACTGGCACTGCTATGCTGAGTCACAGAGGGCGAATGCAAAACGCGGTGGAATGAGACAAAAAGTTGACATGGCGGGTTTTCACCCACGGAAGGAGGGGTTGCGATAACTGTGCGCCATCCTTATCTCTCTGTTGGTGCCTTAGGCATCAGCGTCTGCAAGTAGACGATTTGCAGCGGTTCAGTTTTGTAGTTATACGAAGTACCCCAGACATGCTAGCATTGCTGTCAAAACAACACATGTCCAGGATGCTTCGTACAACTGTTGTATGGCTAATCTTCTTATTTATGAATGACATAGGAAATGGGAGAGAGTACGACCTATTTAGCTCTTCCTATTATTTTTAAATTGGCAGTATATCAGTGCATCTTTTTGACCAGTTCTTCTACTCTAGATCTGAATCTGCATGGCAGTCATAGTCACAGTCATAGTTCGCCCTTGCGGATTAAGTTACTAGAACTTGGTCACCCTTCCGAATGATTCAGCCATGCTTCAAAATAGTTGGGTATGGTAAAAGCACTATAATCGAAATTTCTCCAGGCCAGCGCCATTTATGAGCATTCTATACTCCGTACATAACCAGATCGTAGGGCGTATACTTTCATCACGACGTGACAATGTGACCTGTAGACGTGTCGACTCTGATTGGTTGCAGTCCAAAATGAGTCACGTTACCTCGCTCCCGCAGCCTAACTTTTTCCGTGCTTAGCCCCCAGGACTAGTCAGGGGCTGGACCCACCAGGGCAAATGGGTCAAATTTTTAGATTTGGAGACGGAAAACCAAATTCCTTCAGGCTTCATTCAGCCCAGCACATATAGAACTCCTAAGCCACTTACTTCATCATCCTCATAGTTACTCCGTACCAGCGTGCTGTGTAATACGTATGACATGTTTTTTTTTTGATTGCTATCTTAGCATCTACAGCGATTGGCTATCTATCGATACGAGCCCTATCGATGCAACATCTGCCCTACGTTCAAGCCACGAAACGCATTCTTACAAGTAAGCTGTCACCATGTACGTGCTAAGGAGCATAACGTGCAGGAGGATCTCGCCAGGGCAATCCTGCTCATCCAATAAGCAGCAGTCCACGGTCCTTTGCCAACCGCTAGCTCGGTGCTAATATTCTGATAGCTGACTAGCGGTATGTCATCCTTACTTGGTTGTTGTTCCCTGCCATGGTGACTGTGTCCAGAGACTTGCTTCTTTACCATCATCACTGCCCCAGGGCAAATAAAGAGCCACGATCCTTTGAAAATGCAGTGGGTGCACGTGAGGCGCTATGTATCCCCGTAGCATCTGCTATTCGTGTAGGACGCAAACATGAACACAGGGATGAATACTCCGAATGGTCAAGCAAGCGGTGTATGCTATGAAAATGACGTTAGTAATCAGGCAAGGCACAAGCATATGTCTATAGTATGCTTGCTAACTAGCTTTTGGTAACGAAACAGCAAAAACTACATGAGCTCATCGACATCCAGATGGCAGGTTTAAGAATTGATTGGCATTGGCGCTGGTATTGGTGTTTACCATTCTTGATGGAGGAATTGAAAGAAACCGTTCTGATTGGAAGTATGCTCCTCGAGAAGGCCCTGATTGGGCAGCCAGAGGGCTGAGTGGGGCCATTCCCGCCGTGGTTCTTACCCCTGGTCAGCCGGATACCGTTATTTATTTATTTGATGTTTATCAATATCGAATAATAACCCGGGTAGATAGCTACTACTACACCAGAGAAGCAGCTTTCCTTGACTACTCTTAGATTATCGGCAATAGTTAGATGCGGGGACTAAGAGTCTACGATACAAACATGTAGGAGACCTGTACTCCGGTGGCATGAATACTCAAAACAATATTACGGAGTCCGTACAAAGGACCTCTTCTCGGTACACGGTTCGTCAATATTGTTCGTTGAATAATAAGAGCACCAACTATGGTTTGTACTGAGTACTTTGTAAGGAACAGAGATCGCCCTTGGTCATCTTAGAGTACCCACCGTATTCATCTCAGCTTGTCCTCTTTTTCTTGTATGTACGCACTGCTTCGCGGCGACAACACAGGTAACTAACTCAGTTGGGGGCAGGATCACTGACCATCAATCATTCATAGTCTAATAAATTATCTGGGTAGTTAAGTTAGCAGTGATACTCGCAGAGAACTACGCCGTAATGCATCGCTGGGTCCTGTTCATGCTGAAGGAGCCGATTGCAGCAAATACTAAGCAGCTAGTGCCAGCCAGCCCTTTCCCCGTTTGGTCGCGGCTTCCTTTCCTTCCTCCTCCTCCTCCTCCTTTCCGTTTTTCCATCCTCCCCCCTTCTTCACTTCGTCCTCTCCTCCTTCCTGGTCTCTCTTTTCTCTGCATACCTTTCTCCTCATTCCTTACTTTTTTTCTTTCTTTCTTTCGTTCTTTTCTTTTCCCTCCCAGCTGTCTGATTCTTCTTCTTCGGCTCCGTTCACATTTCGTTACCTCGTTTATAATCCGCGTTCCGATCACCGCTCCTTCGGTATAATTAAATTGGGAAAGGTAAAAAAATTGAAAACAACAACATTACCCTCCAGCGAATGGTCCTTTTCCTTCCTTTCGTGATCAATGCGTCTGATTCCATTTCGTCTCAACCAGCTCTTACTTATTCTTTTGTCCAACCCAAGACTTTCGTTTTACTAGCTTGTGCGCTACTTGTCGTCCGATCAATCATCGCTTCGTCGTAGTCTCACATTCGCTTACCCATATCGCGCATACTTTCTTCGCTTTAGACGAGAGTCGATTTATCCTATCTTGGTATAATCTCAGAAGACTCCGAACCGGCTATCCCGTCGGATTCACTCGTTGATTATATATACACACGGTCGATCAACTAGACGCGCTTCGCATTGAGACTTGGGGGCCTGTCTATGGTATATTGGGTTTCACCTTGAGTGATTCAGAGGTTGTCTATTTATTCATAGCAATCTCACCTTCTCATCACTTCTCTTCGCGTACCAGCGTCCGGTGATATCAGATCCCGGACCTCGTCTATCCGTCAAAACGGCTGTACTCTCGTCGAATATACGGGACAATCTTGTCCTGCCACCGCACATGCTCGCCATGCAAACTGCGGACTCGAAGAACTCGCGTTTACCGTCAGTATCGAAATTGTCCGGATTTAACGCCGATCACACAGGCTTCTCCCACGGCGCATTCGCTTCCAACAACCCCTCAGTACAGCAAAGCTTTGGGAACCGTGATTCTCGACGAGCCAACATTCCCGCCATAAACACCGGATCCGCGATTCAGAACGGCAACGACCTAGGATCCGGCTTCGACATGAATGTCACTCCGCTTCTTCCTTCCCAGCTCCTGCTTGGAAGTCCCTTCCAGCCTGGTACCCCGTCCGCTTTCGCATCACCTCAATTCGCCAATTTCGGCGGTTTCTCCCAGGCAAATTCCGCTCATAACCAGAACGGTCAAAACCAACTAGGCAGCCCAACTCAGGCACAGCCAAATGCTTTGTCCCCCCAGCTATATCCTGGACTGGTCTCTGCAGATGGATTCGCTGGTTTAGGCGGACCACAGTCACCAATTGGCGGGTTCCCTGGTTTGACCAATGCTACTTTCGGTGCATCTAACGCCCACCTGGGACCCGGTATGCTTTCAGGCACCAGCCGCACTGTGTACCTTGGCAATATCCCGGCGGAGACGTCGGCAGAAGAAATTCTGAACCACGTTCGCAGCGGCCAAATCGAGTCCGTTCGTTTGCTACCAGACAAGAACTGCGCCTTTATCTCTTTCCTTGACAGCAGCTCTGCTACGCATTTCCATTCTGATGCCATCCTGAAGAAGCTGGCAATCAAGGGCAACGACATCAAAATCGGCTGGGGCAAGCCCTCCCAGGTCCCAACTTCGGTCGCTGTAGCTGTACAGCAGTCAGGTGCCTCTCGAAATGTTTATATGGGCAGTCTCCCTGAGGATATCACCGAGGAGGAGTTACGGGAAGATCTGGGCAAATTCGGTCCGATTGACACTGTGAAGCTTGTCAAGGAGAAAGCCATTGGTTTCGTGCACTTCTTATCCATCAGTAACGCCATCAAAGCCGTCGCTCAGCTCCCTCAAGAGTCCAAGTGGCAAGCTCCCCGACGAGTCTTTTACGGCAAGGATCGCTGTGCCTATGTATCAAAGACCCAGCAACAGAATGCTGCTCAATACCTTGGCATTGCGCCTGGTTATGCCCATGTTCTCAACAGCGCAGACCGCGATCTAATTTCCAACGCGCTTGCCCAACAATCAGTTGCTGCAGCCGCCGTCGCGACCACCGCTGGTGGTGTTAATAACCTTGGAAACCGGACCATCTATCTCGGTAATATTCATCCTGAAACCACCATCGAGGAGATCTGCAATGTAGTCCGTGGCGGCCTCTTGCATCATATTCGTTATATTCCCGACAAGCATATATGCTTCGTCACATTCATTGACCCAACCTCCGCGGCATCATTTTATGCCCTCAGCAACCTTCAGGGCTTGATGATCCACAACCGGCGGCTAAAAATTGGCTGGGGTAAGCACTCTGGTGCTCTCCCGCCTGCCATTGCTCTTGCAGTCAGTGGAGGAGCTTCGCGCAATGTGTATATTGGGAATCTAGACGAGACCTGGACTGAAGAACGCCTCCGTCAAGACTTTTCTGAATATGGGGAGATTGAGCTCGTCAATACTCTGAGAGAAAAGAGCTGTGCATTTGTTAACTTCACGAACATCGCCAATGCCATCAAAGCCATCGAAGGAATGCGTGGCCGCGAAGAATACAAGCGCTTCAAGATCAACTTTGGTAAAGATCGATGCGGCAATCCTCCTCGTCAGGCAAGCAATAGCAATCAGCAACAGCAAAACCGCAATGGCTTGGAAGAACAGTCACCATCTCCGTTGAACGGCTTCAAGCAGAGTAGCAGCCAGGGCTCCCAGCCAAGCCCAACACGACCCGCGTTGTCTCCCGCCCCCGGATCATCGGGCTCACAGGGTGGACAGCAGAACCGCCCCCCCTTGCAAAATCTGTCGTCGCCTTCATCGATTCTGAACTCCGGGAATAGCAACCCTCTCACAATGTACCTGAACCAGGTGTCTACTCAGCAGGGCCAGGATCAAGAAAATCGCCTGGCGGATCCCATTACTTTGGCGACTTTGCAGCAACAGCAGCAACAGGCTCTCGCCAATCAGCAGGCAACACTGTACAACGGAGCAGGCTCTAATGAAATGTCCAACGGAGGTATCGAGAATACCCTTCACCAACGAAAGGCTTCAAACGGTTTCCTCAATATTGCCAATGGCCACGCTGGTCCCACTCACAGTTCCGCAAATAGTCTCAGTGTTCCTCGAATCCAGCACTCGCGCGCTGTCAGCCTACCGTCCTTCTCCCAAGAGCCATTCGGACCAAACGGCAACCAGGCGTCTCATGGCCGCGCTGGACTGTCTCATCAGCCCCAGGGGAGCTTTTCCAGCTTCGGTTCAGCTCTGGGTGGTCTAAATCACAGTGGCTTTGGTCTAGCTATTCAGAACGAGTCCTCTCTTCCAGGCTGGGCTGAGGAGGAGATAGGGGCAAAATGAAAAACGCCCACATTTTGTTTTTCTTTTTCGTTTGGAAACTTGCCGCCATTTTCTTGACTTGATCCTTGGTGGTTTAATCGAATTCAACATTTATGTGTTTTATCTAATTCTATTCTCCAATTTTGTTTCTGTCATGCCCCCCCCCCTCTTTATTACTTTTATTATTATTATCTTCTGATTCATGTATTCGTCTTGATTTTATGCATTGTCTAAATGATTTTATACTCCATGCCAAATGAGTCCTTTCTTCCTTTTTTATTTTATAAATCCGGTTTTAATACTTTTTTTTCGAACCCTTTGTATTGCTAGCTGGCTAACGAAAGTTTTGGCTTTTGATGGGTGGTTTGCAAAAGGTTTCTTTTTCTTCCTTTTCTTCTTTTGCAACTGCCCTGTTTCGAAGTGTATTCATAAAGGAGAAAAAACAATACTCGGCTGGATTGGGCTGGGCTCAGTTTTTCTGTTCTGTCTTTTCCTTTTTCCTGTCGCCGAGTTTACTTTTACTATTTTGTGATTCTATCCTTTTTTTTTTTTCAAAGTCCTTTGTAATGTTTGAGTGATTGATTAAGTTGTGATTCAGTCCTGTGATGGGAACTGCGCAGGCAAGTTGACTCACAAGAGAAAAGAAATGGGTTGGAATATTATGGGCGAGAGAAACAGCGAGGAAGGAGCTTGTAAAATAGGATGTTATATAATATAGCATAGCGCAACAACTAAATATCTGACCTATTGCGAGTAACCAAACTGTCCCATGCCAATCTTCTCGATGTTATTATGATCTAGCAAGATAGCCATTGCGCTTTTTCAGCTTGTAGGTCCCTAGCATAGTTTTAAATGCAAGTTTGCTGCACTCTACGCGTGGTGAGCACGCGGCTTAAGGAGACAAGGCAGAGTTCTTCCTGTTTCCAACTTCTCCATATATCCTCTTCTTCCATCACACTTACCTGCCTAGACCATGTAATATATTTGAGTATACACCAAACATATCATATTTAGGGCTAGGTGGCCAGTCCATCACGACAGGTCACGTGATCCCAGGACCAGCTTCCGCCACTCGACCTTAATTGGCTGCGGCAAGTTCTTGCAACCACGTCTACTCATAACATCAAGGGGGAAAAGAAATATTCACACGACGGACGCAGAAGACACAAAAAGAACTCGTTCTCACCGGCCTATAGAGCCAACGAAAATGTTACCGCCCGAGCAGTTCCATATCAAGCGTCGACGAGAAGAGGAGCCGGTAGAAACGCTCTGTAAGTAATATCCGTTGTTGAACCAACAACCCCCCCCCCGGGGGGGGACCTTGCATACCCTACCAGCATGTATAAAAAATGCCCATAAAACCGGCATTACGAAGGGGGAATCACATTTTCAAGATATAAACTGAACTTCGATTATAGACATCCAGTCTGAGCTGCACCAAAAGAAACGGCGCTTTACAGACTTTATTTTCCAGAGGGTGAAAATCCCGAGTGGCACCACCACTCCCAGGAATGATGACTCTTCTTCTATCCCCTCGTCATCGCCTGCGGCTGCTCTGGCCCTGCAGGACCGTCTCCGCAGTCCCAGGTCTGTGAGCACATCGGGCTTTGCGAGCGACAACAAAGTGCGCCGTCAGCCTGCAGCCAGACCAACAACAACAACAACAACAACAACAGTAGGAACGAACGGCATTCCCACTGTTAGAACAACGTCTCCAGGCGCAGAGTTTCGTGATGAAAGTATTCGCACCGAGACTCGACGCCGCGAACTCGAGGCTAAACGCAAACGACTCCAAGAGCCTTTGGGTCAGTTTTTGCCGAAATCAGAGGAGACTGAAGTTCCATTGCAGACTAGTGATGATGATGCGCGTGTCACTCCTGCTTCGTCTATTTCAGAGGAAAAGGAGAGCAGCGGCGGCCGCACGCGTCCACTCAGTGCTACTCCCTCTGCATTTCCAACCTCTCTCCGGCGTTTCCATATTGCGCGGCCAAGCACGTCCATGGATTCTCTTAAGGGAGCTGCTGGAGGCGGAGTGTCGAAGAAAGGCAGCACGCCAAACCGGGCTCGAGCGATTCTGGTCGAGAAACTTACTCGATCACCTTCGCTAAGAGGTGCATCAGTGTTGCAGACACTGGAGAAGAAAGCAGATGGCCATGTGGAGTTGGACACGGTGGCCCAGTCTCAGGTTGCCGCTGCTCAACCTAAGGCAGCTCAGCAGTCTAACTCCCAACTTCCAGAAACCAAATCTGGGCCTTCAACAAGAAAGCGACCCGTCGTTAACCAAGCCGAGAAAAATTGGAGAGCACAGCATCAACCCGCTATCTCGGCAGCCAAAGAACACTTGACGACCAAATACGAACAAACTGCAGATGATTTAGACAGGCTAGCCGCAGATCTAGAACAGGTGATGCTAGATATAGAATCAGAGGAAAACCAAATGGACGGTCTTGTTCACAAATCACCATCAACTACCGCAAATGCACATGTGTCTATTGCACCGAAGCCAAAAACACCCTTGAAATATCAGCCCCGTCATCCAGCTCCTCGAAAAACAGCCGCACTCTCAGCATATGTCACAAACGAGGAGGAATACGCCTTAGAAGACAAGACTATGCACGAAGCAGATAGTGACGGCGAGTACGTGTACGACACCTATATCCGCATCCCGTTACACACGGCGCCTCAGCTACCACAACAAAAGCTACAATCAGACATAACCGGATACACAGATCCACTAGCCGAAGCCAATGCAGCAAACGGCATCAGCACCATTGGCCCAACACGCACAGACATTGGCGTCGTCGTAATCACTTCCGATGACGAGGAGATCTGGGATCAATACTTGGAAGACGACCAAGACTCCGAGGTCGACTGGGATGGCGACGATGTAGATTCGAACGGTAAATTATATGTTCCTTCCTTCTTTCAGTTTCTTTTTGTGTGTTAAGCTAATGAAATAAATCAAATTCAGCGGAAGACAATCCCGCAAACGACTACCCCGACGAAGAGCTTTCGTCTGCAGATGAATACGACGATAAACCAAGTATATATCGTCGGTATCGGTCAACGGCGTCTGATGACGAGGAGTATGACATTAATGAGTTTGATGAAGAGGGGGGATTTGATGATGACTATAAAAAGTATATGTATGATTATGTTGGAGATGACGACGACGATGAAGATTATTAAGTAAAGAATATTAATTTAGGATCTAATCAGCAATCTATCCGCCATGATCTATTATTGGTTGACATATCAATTGAACGTGCACATATATATATATAGTTAATACCTAATATTTGTACTTTATTTGGTAAATAAACAGGGTAACTAATCGAAGTACATGTGTATTTCAAAAGCAAAATAACTAGAGATGTGCAGAGAATTGGGTATGTTCCTCTCTAATCATTTGGCTAAGCTTGAAGGCCATTGCAGCAATAGGCGACATTGAATGTCCGCTGATCTGTTCCGGGAACACACTCACATCCATGACTCTGAGCCCCTTGACTCCATGCACTTTACATTGCAAGTCGACGACACTAGTCTCTAGGTCGAGGCCCATGCGCGCCGAGCCCACTAGGTAGTAAAGCGTGAATGCCTTCTCTCCTTCATCCAGCGGATGAGATGCTCGTTCTGGAATCTTCTCTATATCGCTGCTCGAGTACGGCCACCAGTACGAAGTTGGATTGTCGTTTACTGGCACTGGTTCCAGGTATTTTTTGGGAGAGGCGCAGTGCGAATTAACCTGAGAACAACCCGTAGGCCCGCCACGACGGCTTTCACATCGTTGTTGCATTTGTCTGACAGATACTTCGGGTCGATGATGGCTGCTCTTCTCCATAATGGATAAATGATAGAGGAACGGCAACCAGCTCAGTCAGCTTGTTGGCACACCGCTTCTTGAGTATTTACCCGAAATCAAACTGAGATATCTCGATCAGAAGCCTAGCCCTATACCTGTGAGAATTCCTGAGCTGGGCTGAGCATAAAGCAGCATGATGCTGAGCGATTTATCATTTAGATAGGCAAATAAGCATAGATAGCACGGAAGAAATAGATTTGGAGTTATACCAAAAAAGACAAACAAAGCCACCGCAAGACGGGGAAAAAATAAAATAAAAACAAAGAACGAGAACGCAGACGAATCCACCAATATATCCAGCATATATCCAATAAAGAGGAAGTGAGATAGACGAGGAAGTGAGACAAAGAAATAATAAGGCTCAAAACTACACCCATCCAAAGGAAGAGTATGTATGTATAGTTTCCGTACATGTTCTTGTTTTCGATCAATGGGAATAGCAAAGAACATGACGGGAAAAAAAAACACCAAGAAATGATTAGGGAAACCGAAAGAGAAGAGTAATGAGAATAAGCTGAGACAAGAACAAAAAAAAAGAAGTATACCACCGAGATTTCCGACCATGTCAATGCAGTAGCGACAGATAGCCTCTCCAAAACATAAAATCAGAACAGATTGAAGCGGATCATGAATGCAGGAGAATAGGAAGGAAGGAGTAGATGTGAGAATATATCAAGGAATTTTTCCCAAAAAAAAAGAAAGTCACATCCAGAGAGGAGGTAGATTAGTATCCCATCTCCTCCTCTTCTTCTTCACTGACTATCTCTTCCGAGTAAGAGCTCGGTGTGTATGGCTCAGGAGTGGACTGTTCTGAGGATGAGACTGAAGCCATCGAAGAGGAAATAGAAGAATGACTATATGTTCGCATCATCATCCGCTTATCAGAGGCAGTAGCTAGGTTGTGGTTGTGGTTATAGGCGTCCTTGGTGCTACTGATGGTGTGGTTTGGTTCGATCGGGGTCAGTTGCGGACCTGGTTGAAGACCAGCAATAGCATGCTTGGTTTTCATCCACGGATACCATACGCGACACCATTCAATAACTCCAAACTTGGGCATCCGTTCACGAGACGGTCGACCACGAGCCATGAATTCGCCATCTTTAAGCCGTCGTTGTTCGCGCACAGTTGGGCATTTTTTGGCGTGGATGAATCGATAGAATTTGCACTGAATGCCCTGCGTGTTTCGCTCAGAGCGTCCTTGCCCTGGGAACTGACTGTTGAACGCATCTGTGCAATCCTTCCAGTCTTCATCAAGATCAACGCGATGATACCAGATGAAGTACATCTCCTCATCGGTGTATTTAGGCCGAGGGGCTCTTCGCCGCTCACTTATCGCCGTCGACGATGTGCTGGAAACCGAATCGAAGCGCTCGTACCGGTAATCGGCTGAGCCTTTCTGTTGCTGCTTGTTATCGATGCCTAGTGAGCTTTCCTGGACATGATCGCTATGGCTCGGCGAGTTTGCTCCTCTCTTCTGACGGTGCTTGCCGTTGTGTGTATCATCGATTTGCATTTTGTGAAGTGGTAGGTTAAGATTTTGGCGTGCATCTTTTGTGCCTATATTTTGTTGTGGTGGATTCAAAAGCGCACTAATAGACATTTGAGTTGTTGCAGCTGACATGGTTGCTGTATCTATCTTTATCCCCTTAAGCCGTGAATTCAGGAGTAGAGAGAAAGACGTGCGAGGTCCAGAATGTATGCGATGTGATAAAAAGGAGAATCAATCAAGACCCTGCTTTGTTATTTACCCCCCCCTGACTGTTCAGGCACCGGAGAAACCCCCCGAAATCAAGATCAATATACAGTGCACGAGCTGATTACTGTATATTCTTGACTTGTGGCAATGACTTTAAATGTTGATCAGTCACCCTAGCAAACGAAGCCTTTGTTTAGCGCAAGGCCTCGACCGAAACTCGAGGACTGGAACAAGCAAGACAATTCTGAGCCTGGGTTTATCAACCGAACGTCTCTCGCTAGAGAGAAGAGAACAAAAAAATAATCGGAGAAAGCCGTGTCCAAACAGGATATGGTTAAGCAAGCCCTCGCTCAGGTTTCTTAGAATCTCAGGAGAAGAAAGAGAGAGTAAAAGAAAAGCTTAGCAGATCCAGGAAGATTTTTCCTGGCGCATACTTGAACAACGACAAGGATCTTTTTTTTTATTATTTATCAGGGTCTGTCCTGGAGGGGTGGGGATGATGAACGAAATAATGGCACGTCAATGGCTGTATAAGCAGGCAGAGAGTTGAGACGTTTGCCAAAGAGGGAAAGAAAAGGAACAAGGTGATGTCTGGTGGGAGTCAGGCAAACAAAGACATGGGTACATTTTATGAACGTCGCAATGTGTCATGGGCCAAGGCAGATTGAATAATGGAGCGACTTTCTTAGAGTCTTAATACTCCCTTCATCTAGCGACGACGACTATCGAGAGTGGGGAATAACTCGATGTCTCGGCCAAAGAAAGAAAACCGACGTTAAATGCGGCGCATCATTTTTTTTTTCTGTCTTCTGCATAAAGTTGAACCTATAAATTGGGCTAGGTCGGGTTTTAATTGACTCTGATAGGGCCTGCATAACTGGTGTAGCAGATGCTAGAGACCAGCCAGGGCCAGGGTCTGCATTTCAGGCTGACCAACATGGATGCCGCTGTCAAATTCTGGACCCAATGTGCATTGTGAGAATCATCCGATCCCGTTCTAATAGATCTGCGAGCAAGTAGGATGGATCCATAGAGTGGAGTTCAAGTTGCGCTAGAACTTGCTAAAAGAGGACTCCCCGTGAAGAGCACGTATGGAGGGTTAGCAAGAAATGACGCTTGCGAGGCAGCAGCCCCAAAGAGTGTTGCAAAGGGGAAGGAAAAAAACGGCGCCGGCTAATTAGGCAGAATCCTTCCTAGCCAGCAGGAAATGGCAAGTGGACAGGAAAGGGAAGGACAAGGCTATGATTGAGATTGGCAGGGCCGATCAAGTTAGCCGAGTGTCCGTTATCTTTTCTCCGTCCCTATGCATACCTCACCGAGACACACAGCAAGATTGAAGTGGGAGAACAATTTGGGACAATGCAATCAAAGGACAAATGCGTCAATTAAGACCCTTCACATCCTAGTTTTTTTTCGTCATTGAGGGGCGAGAGTCGTATAGAGAACACGAGGGGAGTCGAATGAGCAAACGAGAAAGGTATGGCAAAAGACTCCTCCTCCTGCACGACCAACATCAGCAGACAGGTCGATTGGGCGCGAGGCAACACCCAAGTTGCACCAAGTTTTAGCTTACCGTTCTGCTGGGATTTTTGGACGAATAGAAACGGCGAGCACCCTGGCCAGTGCAACCACAGAATGAGAGTGATGGACCTAGATGAGCAATAAAACACGCCCCCTCCCCTTCTGCCGCGTAACAAGTCCCGTCAGGATAGATTGCCAGCACATCGTTGCATTCAATGCATGTTGACCGCAGCGCCGTATGTATTATTGAGGATATTATAACTATGTATGGAGTCGCCTGCTCTGTCTTTAATATTTCTTTCTGTCTGGAGGGTGTGCGCCAGATTTGTCATTCGTCAGCCAACCGCCGATACCCTTTAATTTTTGGTTTTTCGGCACGACACTCGCCGGAGCAAGTGAGAAGATGGTGGTGATGAATAAAAAGAAATAATAATTGGTGAGTATTACGACCTGCGCCGCAGACGCCGCCTCGTTTCCACCATTCGATATGATCTAAGCCAGTTAGCGCGGGCCTTAGTGGCATATAGTGCGCCTGGCTCTTTGTCTGGCAGCGGAGACTAGAGCCACTAGAGGGCAGCATCGGTCGACGAGGGATGTAGTTGTCTGCTGTGTAGTCGATTTTAGTGCTTAGTTGGTCCTAGTGCGTGACCGTGGTCGTAGTAGTTGCTTTTTGGCGTTCGCACTCTAGTCTTTTATTAATCAAAAATAGTTAACTAATAATAGTAGTTAGTCATGTAGTTGCAGAGACTCGAATCAATTTCGATTCCCACCGAAAGTGGCTGAGGCTCTGGCGGCCGGATTATCAGCGCACGGAGTACACCGTGCATATCTCGACATGCACCCACAATAGCCATGGATCATAGCAGACTTGTAGTAGTAGGTAGCAGTGCGTATTATCTGCTGTGGGGGGGTTGGAGAGGAGCCGTTGGCCTGCCTGGTAGTGGACAGCCGGCAACAAAGAAAAGAAGCCTGAGGAAACAGATGAAGGGCCGTCGATCGTCTGATCGTTTTCCGTGTCACTCTGCGCTCTGTGCTCCTCCTGATCATCACGCAGTACGGGGTACGAAGTAGTAGTGCAGGTGTTGCGAGCATCACAAGGAAGAGAGTGCAGAGCAAGAGTGAAGACGAAGACGAAGACGAAGACGAAGACGAAAGCAGAAGGAACGACGAAGCCACGGCGGAAGGCCGTGCCTTCCTCTTTCACTCGGCAGGCTCCTTCCCCGAACAGATCGATCGCTAGTCGGCTTCGATCAACAACAACAACAACAAACACACCACACGCCATTCCCTTTCTCTCCCACCAAACTACTTCTCTACTATCTCGCGCCTCTCTACGAAGTACTCCGCAATCAAAGAAATGCAACGAGGGGAAACGCGCACAACAAAGCCCGGCATACATAATCGGCGCTCATCTCGCATGCACAGATCTCGCCATTCTTTCACTCCTACGCCGCCACTCCACGTCAACTGCCTTTTTCATCCAAGGCTGAACTTTATCATCGTGCCAGACAGAATGCAAGGATGAATTATGAATCCTTCGGTCCAATGACGGTGCTCCTTGCTTAATTCTCTCGCCGTTCTGTTCTCCCATTGCCCGGAATCTCCAGTAGCGTCGACCTCGGACTCGATAATCAGCCGCTAGCCGCCAAATCGGAGAGTTTTCATTCATTTCCTTTTCTTTGTTCGATTTGGGACCGTTGCCACGCCGCATGAAGAGACGGTCAGGTGACTTGGTCCAGTCCTGTCTTTTTGGCGAGAGAAGGATCGCTCAAAGAAAAGCGCCCCCAATCAATCCTGATAAATGTATGGTCTAGGCAGACGATTGAATTCGGCGCAAATCTCGTTCCCGTGAGGGTTCGACGGCGTCCATGACTCGTAATGGATGCGCAAGACAAAAGACTTGACTGTTATTGAAGAAGCCCTCTCATATATATGTCGATCATTGGAGCCGTCGAATTGTCGATGAAGAGCAACCCAAAGCATTCTTCAGTAGTGCCGTTACTTGTCGAGTCATTCACTGTATCTGACTACTATCTGCGTTGGCCCAGTTGCGATTATGGCCTGCCGTGTTGCTGTTCGCTACCAAGTACGCGGCCTTTCCGGTCATGTTTAGTACGTAATGGGTGCAGAATAAGTCCAGAGCAGATAAATTGCAGTTATCAACTAGCTAACTAAGTTGAGTCTCGCTCATAGGATTAGGCGGATTCGCGGCGTACTCCGACCTAGGTGCATTACGGTATTCTACAGAACGGTGAACCTACATGATGAATACGAGACGTGGTGCAATTGATAAAATGAACAACAACCTTGAACCCTGAAAGTTCTTTTTTACTCTGACTATGGGAGAAAGTAAGCTACGTACGTCTGTCTCATGCTAGCGAAATCTTGCCGGACTTGCCGAGCCCTCCGTGCACTGTGCGCAGGCTAAATTACTAATTACAGCAAACTCCATAGTAGCAGTACTAAATTCCTTAGCACATGCAACGCGCACCGGAGGCAAGCCAAAAGATGATTTCCCCGGCGGCGCAGTGACAAGATGTCCTTGAAAATTGCATCGCTTCAACGGATAGTGGATCCTATTCCGGGACCTAGTCAACCTTCATATACGTACTCAAGTAGTAGTAATATGAGGTCCAGAACGCGAACCATAGCTCGGTTGCATCTTGCAATTACTAGTTATATTGTCGCCAGGTAACCGATTATCATGTGGCAGTGCATGGTTTATCTTAGGTCTTTCTTGATGGGGAAGCTGTTTATGATTTATGCAGAGCACCACGTAAATTATCGATGAGCATCATGGGGATTGAACATGGAATTCTTGCACCGCATAATCGAGACCTCGGATGCAACCCTATGATGGATTATTGTGCCTGCAGTCTTAGAGATGTCTCGGAGTACTCGCTCACCTGAGCCTCGTGGGAGGATTAGGGCAATCATCTATCCTGGTATAGAAGAGCATGGCTATTCTGTCAGGTAGTTTTCGGTGACTTGTCTACTTACCCAATTGGGGTTTCCCTGCATATGTCCAAATCTCGTTGTAAAAGGGTTTGGTCGATTGATTGAACGTTAATCAATGATTCACAAAAATCATATGCAAAATGCTCGTGAATTGAACAGCTGTCTTTTCCTAAAAGACTGTTTACCTAGCCCATGTCGACAAACTAGGTACTTGGCCACTACAATCTATACCTAGGTGCCTAGATAGATACCACTATTTTTGATATAGCAAAGTCAAATAGCATCTTTTTTCTATGCATCTAGGTAGGTAAGATCGGTGGCTTATTTAACCTATAACGTGGATAACTATTATAATCCGTTCTGCTATTGAATCAATAGCCATTCTCGAGATCAGAGAGCAGTAGAGTATCGAACATTCCAAGTTGGAACTTCTTCCCGGTGATGACTGGTAGCTGAGAGGTATTGTTTGTCTTTGTCTTTGTATGATGTATCTACCTAGGTATTTTCTGTAATATTCAAGGATCTTGTATGCAACCTGTCTCTGCTTTCTTTCTGATCATGATTATCGAGGCGAGTTCCAAGTGTACAGACTCTGGCTGCATGAAATTCTCTCACTCTGTTCATCCGAGATTCGATATCTTGCACTGCAATTTAGATATAACGACTGAAATGAGGAAAAGAGAGCGTTGAACTTGCGACGGTAACTTGCCATAGTTCTCTCGGTTCAGGCATCTGAGCTGCGAAACGTTGCGATATACTGCAGACAAGTGTGCAAGTTATTTCCAAATCATATTCAATGCGTAATGACAACTGGTCAAGAAACATACTGCAAGAGTTGAAATTTTGATAAACATTGGTTTTATCTGGTGTGATTTTTCTTTCAGGATGAGCTGTTCTGGTAGAACATTGCTACATATCCTGAAGAAGGAAGAGAAATAAGAGAAGAAAAGAGAAGTTAGCATACGCTTTGCCAGCAGCCTCTCTTCTCAATGAGGCTTTTGAGTATGTAGTGAGGTCCTCCTGGGAGTGCAGCACATGCTCATCCATGTATCTGTCCCTCACCGCTAGGCTTCATTGACCTTCCCAGGTATCGCATACGGCGATACAAGCGGTCCCTCCTTAGTCAGCTGATCACATGCTACAGTATCAACTCCATGCATGCATGCATTATACGGTAGAACGAGATCAGCAGAGGTAGTATGAAGTAGATCTACCCTTCTAGCCCTTGGCGGAAGCAACATAGAACGAACGGACTTTGCTGGTTAGCGCGCTCTCTTTTCTGGAATGGAGAATGCTGGACCTGCATGACCATGGAGGCGCTGATTAGTGAAGAGAAATAAGGGAAAGACCTCGTACACTTCCAGCATGACATTCATAGAGCGTTAGCTTTGTGTCTAGATGACTTCACCACACAGAAAGGAACTGGCAAGCTAGTGATGCAGAGTCCGTCCATGTACCAGCCATATATATGGCTGTCCGTTTTGATGTCGATAATATTGGGCTTTTTGATATCGCCAAGTTGAACGAACGAACGGTATACATGGTTAACCTCTCGCAGAGAATGCTTCCATGGGTGTCGACTAGAAGCTATCAGAACTGAGTAGGCAATCACGAGACAATATGGAAGATAGCACTTACGGCGGACCACCATTACTTTGCTTGTCAAAGGAATGAATAGAAGGAACGCCGTGTTCTTCAGAGGTAACTGGCAGCAAGGTAAGAAGAGAGACAGCCAATCACAGCCAATACCGCACGTGCTCCGTTGCGGGAAATCACGTGGGCGGATGGGGCGGCTCGGCGACTATTTCGACGGGAGTATCCTCGTCGTCGTCAACCGGAGACACACTCATCATACTCGTAGTTAGTCATGCGGACCACATCACTTACACATCGCAGGTGAAGAAAATCGGCAAGGAGCAGGGCTGATCGATGTTCGGCGTTGGGCAGCGTGCAGCGCCTAGTGACTAGGCGTGCATGTTAGATCGAGGCCATTGGTGCCTGAGCCGTGGCCCGAATCCTGATTTTGCACAAGCCGGAGTAAAGGAAACGATCTCTCTATGTGCTAATGATATACATATAATATGCGTAGTTAAGTATATCGACTGTATAGTAGGTATAGTAGTGATACTCGCACAACAACTCCGTCTTCGGTGCGATAAAAAGGCCTGCTGCAACACAAAAGATCTTATCTGATCGAGATAATTCCGCATTAGTCTAGCTATCATCAGCCCCCACCACAGCCAAGTGACTAAGGTAATCCTCCCAACTCAAACGATCAAGCTACTCTTTAGCCTTCAGACTCTTCAGGACACTTGTCTGTCATTCGTCGGGTCCGTAAAATATTTATTATTATTTATTTATTATACGGGCTATTGGTTTTGTTCGCCCCTCTCCCATCGATTATCGTGCGACCAGCCGCTCTTGCCTCCGGTCCGTGTCGGCTGTCCGGATGTCTTGTTTCGTCCTCGACCTCGCTATATATCCCGGTAGACCGCGCGTCTAGCGAGCTAGCTAGTCCCCTCAAGAACTACGGAGTAGATATACACTCTTCGGTCGTGTATGTGATCGTCTACCTGCTCGCTGTCTTCTCCGCCTTCTCCTCCCTCCCCCCCGCGTATCCGCTCTTCGACCGCATCGCCGACCCACGCCGACTCTCAAAGCATATGGACTTTTCATAACCAAGCAAGAAACAAGACCGGGCAGGTTTTTCCAACTTACTGGTTTGCCGACGGATACATCGGACACTCTTTGCCGGCATGACCCTGTTGAAGGCCGCTTCGAACTTCATTTCCTATGGAACAACGGCGAACCCAGAGCATGCGATGGGCGACCAAGAGGAGGAAGACCGGCTTCTGTATCCGCACTCGGTATACGAGCCGGACAATGAGACCGGCGATGGGTCTAGCATCGGGAGTGATGTTCAGGATGGCGTTCGCAAGATTGAGGCGATCAACCTGACCTGGACGCAGCGATCTCTCATGATTGCATACCTTGGGTAAGGAAGGGCGCAATGCGATGGCAGGTGCCAGTTTCACGCCAATGCTTATTTGTCATCTTTCGCAGGATATTCCTCATGGCGTTTTGTACCTCGCTTGAAGGTCAGACGGTGGCGTCGCTCGCGGTGTATGCTACCAGTTCGTTTAGCAAACATTCTTTGATTTCGACGGTTCTGGTGGTGCAGAATGTCGTTAATGGTGGGTCGTCGTCCAGCCATTTATTAATGTACGCTGCTGACTGGGGGTAAAAAAAAATAGCTGTGATCAAACCGCCCATGGCAAAGATGGCAGATGTCTTCGGCCGGTTCGAAGCCTTCTGTCTTAGTATCATCATCTATGTGCTTGGCTATATTCAAATGGCTGCCTCAAACAACGTGCAGACCTATGCCTCTGCGCAGATTTTCTACTCAGCCGGATCGACAGGACTTCAAATTCTCCAGCAGGTGTTCATCGCCGACAGTAGCGATCTTCTGAACCGAGCGCTCTTTGCTCTTCTACCGGAATTCCCTTTCTTAGTCACGGTGTGGATCGGACCGACGATTGCGGATTCAATCCTTGCACATGCGTCATGGCGATGGGGATATGGGATGTGGGCGATTATCCTGCCGGCGACGTTTCTGCCGCTTGCTTTGACGCTCCTCTTTAATCAACGTAAAGCCAAGAGGCTACGACTGATCAAGCAGAGGCGCCGTAAGCAGCACCGTACTTTTTACGAGTCCCTGCGCTCGACATGGTTGGAATTGGATATGTCGGGGTTGCTACTGCTCTCTGCGGCCGTCTCGTTGTTGTTGATACCGCTCACTTTAGCTGCGAATTCCAAGGGTGGGTGGCACGACAATCGGATTATTTTGATGTTGGTTCTAGGTTGCGTATTTCTTGTTCTGTTTCCTGCGTGGGAGTCCTCGCGGAAACTGGCTCCGAAGCCGCTGCTTTCTCTGCATCTGTTGACCGAACGAACCGCGCTGGCCGGCTGTGCCCTGGCGTTTTTCTACTTCAGTATGTGCATACCCTGTGGCGCCTTCTTCCCCATCTCCCGTCAAGAAACTTACTGTCGCAGTGGCCTTTTATTTCTCGGTCCAACCGTACTTGTACTCTTACTTGCAGGTGGTACAGAACTACGACGTTGCTGTCGCGGGTCGGGTTACGCAAACCTTTTCCTTCACCTCAACAATTGCAGCATTTATAGTATCGCTACTGATTAAGTACACTCGCCGCTATCGGATTTATGTCGTTGCCGGTACGATAGTATATATTCTTGGTTTGGTTGCCATGCTGCTTTACCGTCAAGAGGGGAGCTCCGTACTCCAGATTCTGGGTACGCAGGTCCTCGTCGGCACTGGCGGTGGACTGGTCAACGTGCCGGTGCAGCTTGGAGTACAGGCATCGGCGCAGCATCAGGAGGTAGCAGGTGCGACAGCCATATTCCTGACAGCACTTGAGATGGGCGGTGCCGTCGGAGCAGCGATTTCAGGAGCGGTTTGGACACATCAGATCCCGAGGAAGCTGAGGCAATATCTGCCAGCTGAGAGTCAGGACCAGGCGGAGGAGATTTTTGGTAAACTGACCACGGCTCTCTCTTATCCAATGGGCTCGGCCACGCGCATAGCGATCAACCGTGCATACCAGGAGACGATGAACAATCTGCTATGTCTGGCTATTTTGGCGGCGCTCCCTATTGTTCCGTTGAGCTTGACTATGAAAGACTACCAACTGGACAAGGTATTTCTCTCTCTCTCTCTCTCTTCGTTACTGTTTCTTTTGGTTTAGTTGTATTTTGACTGACAGAAATTCAGATGGGCCCAAGAAAAAGACGCAGGGCTTCGGAGCACAGACCAGCAAATGGGGCAGCAGGTCGGTCGTCCCTGGAGGAGTGACGGTACATACTATCGACTCGTATATATATAAGCAACAGAGATTAAAAAAAAACGATGATGAATTACGAGCTATGACTTTTGATGTGTTCACTGCGTACTGGATACATGGACAGCGGACATACAAGCAAGCATATCATTTGGCAGCAGCAGATACTAGACAGTCAAGTTTCAACAGTGTTTTTACCCAAGTAGTTACATTAGAAAAAGCATGATATCCATTTTTATTTGTGTAATTTTCTTTTTCCCAGGCCAAGGTTTAACATATCATTTCACTGTTTGGTGTTGAAATGGGCCTGCGGATAACTTTTGATGTGTTTGTCTGTTTTGGCTGAGGCTAGCTTCTTTGTTAGTGTTGAGTTAGTTTTCTCCTTTTTTGATCTTTTCTTTCTTCTGTTTTTTGGCTCACTTCCAGGAGTCTGCTTTAAAATTAATTCACCATTTTGCCTAGTCACCAGTGCATTGCTGGGAGTATGGTGCAGTCCTTATCGTCAAGGAATGTGACATGGCAGCTGTTGAGCTATTAGATGGTGAGACTGACAGTTGTCAAGGACTGCCAGGAAGAGCTCAATAGCAAGACTGCAGACAATCAAAACGCTGTAGACAATAGCCATCAAGCAGAATAGCTATTCATATTCATACTAGCATTAACTAGCTACCTAGTCACCTAAATACGCAGTACAACAATTGTATAAAAAGTAGAAACAGACAGCATGGCTAGCCCCACATAGAGAGATACTCGCAGCAAAGTCACGCCCCAGACAGACATCATCCCTATCTATTCTGACTGCTGCCACCACCGTCTTGCATTCCACCCTCTTCTCCCTCCGATGCTCTCGTCTTCGATTTGATCCAGTCTCCTTCCTGTGTCTATCGCTATTTTCACATTGGCCTTTCTTATCGACTTCTTGTGTTGTCTCGTCTCGTCTCGTCTCGTCTCATCTCGCCTCGCCCCCTCGGCTTGCTCAATCGAACGTTTCAGCAGTCCTTTGAGACTCTGACTCCCTTTTTCCCCATTCCCCTCCCCCCCTCACCAGCTCTGCACAGACAGGAGCATCCTGAGTGAGAAGAGCAAGGCAGAAAGAAGAAAGACCAAAAAAAAAAGGAAAAGAAAGGCGATCAGCAATAAGGAAAGTAGCAAAAGATGGTTGTGGCTACAATCAAGTGCGTGCACTCTTTTTTTTTTTTCCTATGCACTATGTTCCAGCATTTCTGGGTGTGCGGCAACATGTGGCATGCGTGAATTGTCCTTTCAATCTAGAATACACAGTGCTGACCTCGGCTTGCTCCCGACAGATGTGTTGTTGTTGGGGATGGTGCTGTTGGCAAGACCTGTCTCTTGATCTCCTACACCACAAATAAGTTTCCCTCAGAATATGTGCCAACTGTATTCGATAACTATGCGGTGACAGTCATGTAAGTTTATCTGGCTGACTCGTATGACTGCATCCCATGCTGACCGATGCGATGCGAATAGGATCGGCGACGAGCCCTACACTCTCGGCCTCTTCGATACCGCCGGACAAGAGGATTACGATCGCCTGCGTCCGCTGTCCTACCCGCAAACCGATGTCTTCCTCGTCTGCTTCTCCGTGACCTCGCCGGCCTCGTTCGAGAACGTGCGTGAAAAATGGTTTCCGGAAGTCCACCACCACTGCCCCGGCGTTCCGTGCCTGATCGTCGGTACCCAGACCGATTTGCGAGATGACCCTGCCGTGCGCGAGAAGCTGTCCAAACAGAAGATGCAGCCCGTGCGCAAGGAGGATGGTGACCGCATGGCCAAGGAGCTGGGCGCTGTCAAGTATGTCGAATGCTCGGCCTTGACGCAGTACAAACTAAAGGACGTTTTCGACGAGGTTTGTCTCTGTCTTGCCCCTCGCCCAACGTCAATCCCAAAGATACTCACGGTACAAACAGGCTATCGTTGCTGCTCTCGAGCCCGCCCCCAAGAAGAGGCCCAAGTGCGTTCTTCTGTAGACAAACAAGAGAAGAAACCGACGATTGCGAATCTCTCTCTCTCTTTTTTTTTTCCCTTTTTTTTTCTCACCACACACTCCACTTGAAAGTCAGTCCATTTGGGTCTGGATAATTCGTTTTCAAATTTGATATCATGTGGCGTCCGGATTTCTTTTTCTTTTTTTCTTTGCCTTTTTTCCACTTCCGACACATCTTTTCTTCTTTCCATATCAGAGAACCAAACCAAGAAAACTGATCTTCAGATCGATGCTGCTGTCCACGAGTGGGTGACACTTTGATAGACAAGAAGATGCGTTGTAACCTATGTACATACGTGGTTCCATTATCTCAAACGATCAATTTTTTCTCTTACCCTTGGCCGTCCGTCGTTTTCCTCCTGCGTTTTTTTATTTTTTATTTTTTTATTTTTTTTTTTTTTGGCTTTTGAGAGCGGGGTTTTTGTTGGGCCTATCCTATCCAATGCGTATTTGACAGCCAGACCGTCGCTTTATCACATTCACTCGCCCGTCAGTCTTGATTCCGTGACGCTCGATTACTCGATTCTTTCCTACACGTATTCGGCAGCTAGATCGTCTTCCGTATCATACTCGTTCGTTGGGATATGTGGACAGGATGGGTTTGCAGAATACAATGGATCTCGAATTTAGCATCCATCGGCATCTCTGTCTTCTTCCATCATACAATCCCTTCTTTTTCTTCCCCCTCTTTCCTTTGCATTCTCCTCGTCTGTCTCGTGCAAATCACATTCGGCGTTTTGAATGGTCCATTTCCTTCTCCTGTTCATGTTACTACTCAACTAGTCTCGAATTTGAAGAACCTTGATTAAACTACGTTCGCACGTACTACAAGGAGATCATGATATCACAGCTCATCCTTCCTCCCATACCATCCCCCCAGTTGCTCCCCCGGCCCCTCCACGCCAGCCTTCACCATACTCGTAATAATCTCAAATGCCACCTGCGCGGCCGCCAGCGCCGTGGTCTCGCCGACATTATCATAACTAGGGCTCACCTCCACGATATCCGCGCCAACAACATTCAACTTCTCGATGCCACGCAGAATGCGAATCATCTCCCGCGTCGTCCACCCACCGGGCTCCGGCGTGCCCGTGCCCGGCGCAGTAGCCGGATCGAGCACGTCGATATCCACCGACAAATAAACAGGCTGCTCGGAGTCCAGCCCGATACGCTCAATAATCGCGTCAATGACACCCCGGGTGCCTATATCGTCAATGTCATCTGCATGTATGCGCATGAACCCTTGCTCGGGCGTGCCCGGCGTGGTGTAGTCGCTATCATCGACGCCCGTGAGGCGCGTGCGTATCCCCGCATGCGCCGACGTCGTGTTGCTGATCAGCCCTTCGCTGCTGGCTATGTGGAAGAAACTCCCGTGATTGAAGCGCGATTGCTCCGAGAGCCAGTACGATGCGTAGCGCACGGGATTCCAGGTGTCGAGATGGGCGTCGAAATGGAGGACTGTGATGGGCTTTTGGTAGATTTGGTACAGGGCACGGAGTGCCGGGAGGGCAACGCTGTGGTCGCCTCCCAGTGTGACCAGTTTGGGTCTTTGGTTGTTCTTGCTGCTTGCTACTGGCCGTGTGCCTAGTTCGAGGAACGCTTCGTACATCTGGCGAGAGGCTAGGGCGTTGTCGAAGGGCGTGATGGGGATGTCGCCGCAGTCGAGTAGTGTGGCCCATGACAGGTATGGATTGATGCCTGCGCGTGCATTGAAGCTTGTCCCTGGTAGTTGACGGGCGCTGGCCGCGCGGATTGCGCGAGGGCCGAATCGGGCGCCTTTTGTGTTTATATTCATTCTATAAGCGTTTTGGTACTTGACCGTAACATGAGGGGATACTCACCCGGCCTGTAACTAACAGCAGTATCAAACGGGGCACCGATGATGGCAATATCGTACCGCGCATCAGGCTCAACGAGGCACTTGACGGGTTTCATGTGTGCAAAGGTAGACACTCCAGAGAACGACCACTGTTAATCCACGTTAGTTGGTTTGGTATATTCCGGAATTTGTTGGATAAACATCATGCACACACACCTCTTGCTCCCATTTCATCAAGAGCTCCGCTTTCTTACTCTCCGTCAAAACAATCTCCTCGTCCTCATGGCCATGATGCGAGTGGGCCAGCACTGGAGATGAGCTCAGCGCGAGGAGGCCCAGCACCAGGGCATTCTTCACAGAGAAGATAGACATTTTTAGAAGAGGACTGTTTAGACAAGGCAATTCATCAAATGCAAGAATGAGGGGAATCACAGGAATTTATCATTTATCCAGCTGTAGCATCGACTTTCCTAATCCGACAGGGCCGCCCCGCTCTGTATCTCCAGGTCTTATCGGAGCGTCAAACTTCAACCCGATGCTGCGACTACAGGCAGTCTCCCGGATCGCTTCTCAGGCCATCCCGATGCATATGGGCACTGCATCTGTGCATAGTCCGTCCATTCGCCATCTCGTCTGCAGGCCTGAAGGGGCAAAAGAGCGAGATATCCTACAGCGACTAAGCCGCAACAGGCATAGCCGCACTCCACTAGCGCCATCGTGCCGACTTTCCCTTCTCGACCATCTTTCCTTTTCGAACTATCGCGAAGTCGTTGCTTGCCAATCACAACGCACCGTTCTTTCTTGTCAGAGTATATACTCGATATATATATTATATACTGCACTAGCACACCTACGCTACCATACATGATGCCATGCGGAGGGTGGTCGTGACTGGACTGGGAGCCGTGACGCCGCTTGGTGTTGGTACGCTTGCTTTCCCTCTGCCAGGAACATAGTTGATGTCTTCTCTAACTCGCGCCCCTCCAAGGCATCCGTCGCACCTGGTCTCGTCTACTAGACGGCCACTGCGGCATCGTCAATGTGGCAGACCGCCATCCGCGGTTCGCTGAGATTCCCTCTCAGATTGCCGCCGTTGTGCCACCGGGCACTCGCAAGGATGGCGGATGGAAGGCGTCGGAATGGCTGACGCGAGATGTACGGATTTCATCGTTTTTTCAGAAGTCTATCGTTTTATATATATGTATTGACATTAACTCCCAGGAAGAGCGGAAAATGGCCCGATTTGCGCAGCTCGCCATGGCTGCAACCGAGGAAGCTCTCGACGATGCTGCTTGGCGGCCTACAAGTACTGAGCAGCTTGAAGCAACGGTATTTCTTTATTTTCCACTCATTACTGTCTATTCGTTTTTTTTTTTTTTTTTTTGTTTTTTTTTTT